TTATTTATCAAATATACATCGAATATTATTTTTAATATTTTACAAGTAACTAAAATTAAATATTCACTCTCCTTGCCTTTTTATCAGCAAACTGATTTATTAAGTCATTTATAGCTGATGTTGTTTTTAGTTTTTCTAATGTTTCTGCCTCTATGGACAATAGAGACAGGTCTGATAGACGTTCCTGTTTTATTGATGTTCTGAGATAATTTTGGATTAATTTTAATTTTGAAAAACTCGTTTCAGCAGTTGCGGTTGTAACTGGAAGGGTCAAGAATAAAATGCAAGCTGTTATTACATCCGGAAAACTGGATGCAATTCTATTGGATTTTATTAATAATAATTCAGCGAGTTCCTTAATGGAATGAATATTTTAGATTTCTGATTTTAAGCATGCTTTTAGACCTATCAATTGATCGCAAAGATTACCTGATAGATCTTTGCAGTATTTTGTCGTCAGTTTTCCGGAAGCAATTATTTCTTCATTTGATGAGTTTCATGAGTTTTTCCGGTTGCAATATTCTGAACATACTATTTACGTCACAAAGGTTTTGAAACCTTTGTTTTGTTATTAGTTATTTGTTTTAGTTTAGTTTTTGTTATTATTTGTTGTTAGTTAATAGTACACGTTTACTTTAAAATATGATCTAGGGTCTAGAATTCTCTCGTCTTGTGATTACTCATCGAAAAATCGCTTTGTTATCTTCCGCCTCTTGTTTTTAAAAATTGTTTATATATTCCAATTCTTTGCTAAATCCTTAGTATTCCTTAACAAAATAATGAATTAATTTTCATGCCTCAATTCGTGCAGACTCTTTAAAAGATTTCCTAATAGTATGCTAGTTTGTTGTAAGACATTACTCACATCCTGTAGAGCTTTCGAAATTGGATTAATAATTAGAAACAATAAAGAAAAAAATGTTACGAGCACTAAAAAATCATAGGTTTCTAAAAGTTAATTAAATTCTTACATTCTTCACGTTCATCTTTTTTTTTAGAAATTAAATTTAATTTATACAGAGTTTTTACTATTAATAAATAGTTTTTGCTTATTGCTAATAAGGCGTCGTTCCTTGAAGACCATCTGGTAGGGCATACCCTTTTAAGTGTAACTAAATATTCCTCGGAAGAATCTTGATTTAGCATTGACCAGCGTTGTATGCTATTGCCAAAAAAAGTGTATATTTTTTCGATTTAAGAAATTTTTGGCACTTTCTTTATGACTTCATCTATTTTCTGTTTAATTTTTCGTTTCATAGCTCCGCTGGCGTAATCTCTTTTCTTTTCACTCATTGTTTTCTTTAAATCACCACTAACACTTTTCCACAAATCACCACTAAATCAAAACACTAGTGGTTTGTATTGTAATACAAAATAATTCACAATCAACTGAAATATGTAAATAACCCCCGCTGTCTTTCAATGTAAAAAACCTTCGACTAACTCTGGCAATTATCATATGATTGTATTTTTTCTAACGTCTTCATTTCTGTACCAAATGTGCATTTAAAATTAATTTTAATATTACATCTTATATATAATATTAGACTGAAGTCTAAAGTTTTACACCCAGCGAGATCAATATACTCAGGACTAACAATATCTTATATATAAAAATGGAGCTCTCTTTCAAATGTCCGAATAAAACTCGAAAACGGCTGAATCGATTTGGCCAGTCTTAGTCTTGAAAAATTCGTGCCAATCCAGAGAAAGTCGAAAAGGTGAGAAATTATTTCAAATCCGCGTAGAAACTTTACATTTTTAATTTGAAAATTTTTGTAGAAGCGTAATTTAAATAAAACAATGGACGGTGGCAATTTCGTGAAAAGTCAAACGCTTTTGACAGATGATGTTCAATTACGTTTAATAGGATGTTTTACGCGAATATTATTTATTTATGATAAATTTGTAGTAAGTAGTTTTATTTATATACAAAACTTTTTTGATATGTTAATATGAAAATGCACTTTTTGGCATATTTTTCTCAAACACGGTGCTCTGAAAGATCTCATTTGTATAATTATATACTCATTGGTATTTATAAAACATTTTCTAGGTTATATTATTTTTTATTTATATTATTTAAATTCAGAACCTAAATTTGGTATCGATCAAATGGACATTTTGTCGAATAACATTTTTCCAGTTATGATTTCCCAGAATTTATCGCAGAATAGATAGTAGTATATGAAGGTCCGGGATTAAAAAGGTCCACCACCGATGTGCCAAAAATCAGTAAAGTTAAGCATTGTTTAACAACAATATTTGAAAGTAGAGGAAAAAAGATGTATAGCCAGCTACAACGTTGATTTGAAAACGATAATTTTTGAAATAGGGAGATAAACGGTAATCTTTGAAAATCCATAATAAAAGTATTTTCTTCCGTTAGTAGTTTTAGCATTAGTTAAAAATGTAATTATTTTGTAAAATACCTTTAAAATTATAATAAGGCCACCTGCCCGCTACAAGTTACCCCGCATATAGAATAAAAAGGTCTAGATAACAAATTTTTGAAAGACATCAAAAAAGCACATTTCTACAATAATGAAGTAGAAGTCAGTTTACTGAACGTAGTCAGATAATTGTTCGTTTGGTATGTGTTATTTGTTGTGATATAATTGTTATGGTTTTCACAATATAGTTTATATTTGCTCAAAGTCAAATTGGACCTTTGTGTCTCGCCCTGCTCTACATATATACTTTTTATTAAATTTACTTGAATTCATCGAATGTTACTTGAAACTTTTCAAAAAGCAGGTCAAAAAAGAAATACTTAATTCATTTTCTATCTCTCCTCTCTCCTCGCAGAAATTTGAAAATTTTGTATAAGCTCAGTTGTATTACTTACAATTAAACGCAAAATCCTGAATCAAAAAAGAATCTGAAAAACTTGAAACGTAATCAATAAGTCGAAAGACCAAAAATGACTTGGATTGGATTATACCATGTTTTCTATAGAAAGAGTATAAAACTTGCAGTTTGATTGTATTGACAAAATATAGACAAACTAATGGGGTTTATTGTTTTTATAATACCTCATTGTATACAGCATTCAAACAACACATCCTTATGCACTTAAAGTATTAATATTTTTGATTCTCTAGAAATGGTTTAGAATACACCTTATTTAGCAAAACAACGTTTGCCGGGTCAGCTAGTTGTATATAAATATTTTGAAAATTTTGTATATTTATGTTCAGAAATGGAAACAAGACATTTCACTTGGATCACTTATTTTTATTATGCAATAAGTATCTTAGACAATATGAGGATATAATATATCCATAAGTATATATATAAAAAAAAATCTGAGACAAAAAATGCCAATGAACTTAATGTATGCCACAATTGAAAAGAAATGAATATTTCTAAATCTGTCTAAATTTCTAAATATGTATGTTTAAACAATTTTAAATATAATGATTTTATCAATTGTAATAACAATATTTGTTGCTGAAATATTCTAATTACATCCAGATGAGAAGTTAAAGTATACTAATGCATCTTTATGGGCAATGTCCATATTTATTAAATTTTTCTTCAATCTATTGAATAAAATTTAATAAATATGAACATCTTCATAAATGCTCAGAGAGTTATATATTGCAACCATTTACTATCAGACAAGTTTGATATATCAATGTGTATTTTAACAATTGTTAATTACGCTGTTTATTATAAGTTATCTAATAAATAAAAATAGGCCTGGTTTTCCTTCCTGACAATATAACTCCCAAACGCACGAACCGATTTCGACGATTTTGCATTCGCTGGAAAGGTCTCGGGCACCGTGAAGTTTATAGCAAAAAAAAATTGAAGAAAAAACCCAGAAAAACAGAAAAATCGTTTTTCATATGCAGAGTCATCTCTGATACTTAGCATGTACTACAAACTAATATTTTTTGTTTGACTTCTACTCATTGTTCTCTGCTCAGTTAATTTCATGTGACAAACCGGCATTGTGTTTACTGTGAAATTGTGCAAAAAATGTAAAAAAATAAGTTATTCGTTTCCTAACATTTCAATTTTAAACCATCAAATCAATCACGTGTATGGTGCAAATTTTTATTCAATTTCAACAGCAGACAATTTTTTTCTTCATCTTTTAATCACCAAACAAAATGTTACATAAAATGAAACCATCTGGTGGTGAAATGGAGTTAGCCCGGTTTGCTAGTTATATATTATTAAAATTTGTATTCTGTCAATGCGAGAATGATAAGTTTTATTTGAGGTATTTTAAAATGAAGTTTTTCTTCATGCATTTATTATATTGAACAGATTTCACAAAATTACATTTTGTGAAAACTTTATTCCAATAAAACTTTGAAAAATATGATTAAAAAATGTTCTATATTGACTAAGTAAAATATACTTATATAATTATACATTTACTATAATTTTAAATTTATCAAATATTAGTATAATTATAATACACACATATATATGTGTTTCTCTACGTTTTGTTATTGGGTATAAAATATAAATATAAAATAATTATAAAAATTATAAATACTCATATATATATATATATATATATATATATATATATATACATATTTCTATTTTGGCAATTTCGATTTATTTTTATTTGCCTTCAATGTTTTCACTTGATTTACTTGTGATGCAAACCTTAATGAATTTATGGATTCCGAATAATTGGCAGATAAAGGATTTACATTCACAAACATCAATGTTTTCGAATTGCCACCCAGTGATGGCATGAGCAAGTATGTCAATTTTGAGCTTCGATATGGTATATGAGCCTGTTTCTGTTGTAGTGATAATATGACCTACAAAAATAAATAGTTTTGAGTAGTACATGAAATTATTATGTATAGTTAAATATAGTAAATATATATAATATATATTGAAGCAAGTAAATTAAATTTGCAATATATAAAAAAATAAACACTAATATTTGATCAAGTAACACTTTCAAACTATTACCTTTCCAAGTTGTGCTAAAGATTTATTAATGTTCTTGGTCTCATCCATTCTTACTGAAGTCTTTGGACTCTCTGATCCTGCTAGATCAACCAAATTGAGAACACCAGTGAAGCTTTGACCGTTTACTGCATTCGATGATGATATAATGATCTTTGAAACAGAATGAGATCTTGAAGATCTTTCATTGGAATCTGTTTGTGCAGTTGCTCTATTGTGTTGAGCTTTTTTCAAAAGATTTGTTAATTCACTTTGGTTTTCAACAGTTATCTCAGTCAAATTTGTAACATAAACAATATTTTTTTCTTGGGAATTAACAAGACGTATATCCAGATCTCTGCTGGACAGATCAAGTAGGTCATGAATTTGTTCATTGTAGATCTCTAAAAATGATGTGCTAATTTTAAAGGACCATCCTAAGCATTTGAGATCAGCAATTTTTCTAAATATAAATGCGATGCATCTTGGAATTAAGCCCATATTGATTTCAGAGCCCTCCATTGTATATGTTTTACCTATAAAAATAAAATAAATTTTAGATTCAGTTAATTACATTGAATATACAATAATTTTATTACTATTGTAGTATTTATTATATAGTGGTACAATTAAATGCAAGTTTTACTTTTGACTTCACTTTCATGAAACATACTAAAGTTAATTTATAAAACTCAATGATTGCATTGCATTGATATCTTTGACATAATAAGATAGATTTACATATTGCATTTCTTGTAATTAATAATTAAAGAAAAAAATCCGCACATGTTTCTCACAGGTCTTGAAGAGATTAAAAACCTGTTACTTGTGATTAATTTTACGTAAAGATGGGTCGAGTCCATTATTTATAAGAAGAGTTTTAATCTGTGCCATTTATGAAATGTTGCAAATAAATGTACTGTCTTCAAAAACTATTTTTATTATTTTTTTCACTTTTTAGGAAACAAATAAATGTATTTTCAAACACTTCAGATTTTTAAATCAGTGGCATTATTTCTTTATTTAAATAAATATTAATATTTACCACTGCCTGTTTGTCCATATGCAAAAATACAAACATTGTATCCATCTATGGCCGATTGTACAAGCGATTCAACCTCACTGAATACTTCCTCTTGAGATGAAACTGGTGGAAACACTTTATCAAATGAAAATTCATGTTTCACAAGCTTAGAATTTCCAGAGGCTACCGATGTAGATTTGTCTAAGTTGCTTTTCATAACATCAAGTGAATACTCATCGGGATAATTCCAAAGGCATTGTTCTTGCTCATTTTCTAAAGGAAGTGTAGGCCTGATTCGACAAAATACTCTGATATTTCCCTTTAGCTCTAAAATGGTGTTGTGCAAAACTTTTCTGTGATCATAAGACTGTTGAAGAGATTCTTGAAACTCTTTATTAGCTTTCTCAACTTTGACTATGGTACTATTAAGCTCATCCACAGTGTTTTTGAGGAGTTTATTTTCATTTACTGATATTGTCCATTTATCAATGAATTCATTTTTCTGGTTTTCTGTTAAATTCAACCGTTCACAGATTGTTTTATGAGTATTTTCAAGCTGATTATAATGATTTTTCAAACTATCATATTCAGTGCTCACTGTGGAAAATTTCAAATTTAAATCAGCATGATCTTTGCTTAATATATTATTAGATTGTTGTAAAATTTCATGTTGTGATGTAATAGTAGCTAAACTACTAGAAAGCATTAAACTTTTAGTTTCTAATGTTTTCAGTGTATTTTCCTGGTCCACATAATTTTTATGTAAAACATTGTGCTGTTCTGATAAATCATTATATTTATTTTTAAAATCATCTCGTTCTGATGTTACAGAAGCTAAATCAGCAGATAATGTTGAATTTTCACTTTCCAATATGTCTAATCTATTTTCTTTGTCAGTATAATTTTGTTTTAAAACATTGTGTTTATCTAATAGATCATTATATTTACTTTTATAATCTTCTAACTGTGCTGTTAGAGAAGCTAAATCACCACATAACTGTGAATTTTGACTTTCCAATATTTCGAATCTATTTTCTTTGTCAGTATAATTTCCTTTCAGTTCATTATGTTTATCAAGCAAATCATTATATCTTCCTTTATAATCATAAGAAGCAATTTTAACTTTGGCTTGCTTGGAAGCTGGTGGACCCAATGATGAAGAAATTGTTCCTGAAGCAGCTGGTCGTTTTACAGCCACAAATGCTTTATTCTGTTTCGATATGAATTGTTTTGATGGCACACCTACTGTTCCAACAGCAAAAGATTTACTTCTTATAATTTCTTGTTTTTGCAATTTGGTATCATCTTTATTCATTCCCTGTACAATAAAGCAAAATTAATAAAATTCTAAATTGATCCATATTGATTTTGAAGAATTTAGATAAAATTACTATGTTAATAGTATAAATTTTTATGTTTTTACTTTGATGATTAATATTACGCTATATAACAACAATTATTAAGCATAAATAAAATATACATTATGATCTTCATATGAAAGAATTTATTTGAAACTTTTTATGTAAATCCTTTCATATCAAACTTGCAAAATAATACTTTGAAATTTAATAATCAGTTTGAAAATATAGGAACTGAATACAGTTTTTACTTACTTTATTTTGTTCTTATAACTATCTAATAAATAATCAATTAACATTCGAAAAAAACTAGGTAAGATGAGGTTTTAAGAAACTGTGCAAAAAAATATAGTTTTAGAAAACAATTATCTTTGCTAAATAAGGTTTAATAAAATTTAAACAACAGCACAACAATTTTCATTTAATTGGATTCATATTTTAAATATTACTGGCAGTAATAATTTAGTAAAATACAGTTACAAAGCTTCCACGATTCATTACTAATATATTTAGACTACAAGCTAAAATTTTTAAATGAGGTTATTTTTTATGAAAATTTGCATTCAATAAATATGATATTAATCGCTGCAGAAATACAAGATAAACATATATTCTGAGTTTACACTTGAATTATTTTCATTGAAATGATCTATATAATAGATCTATTATCGATTGTTTCAGTGATTTTAACTCCAACTGCTAACAAATACAGCAAACTATGTATTGCCCCCTGCCCCCATAAGTTACAATAAACCACATCGAGGTAAGTTTATCAAAGTGATTTGACACATAAAACATTAACAGAAGATCATTGGTTAGTGGAATGTTTTTTTTATTTTCTTGCAACTGCTTTTACTAACCAAGAAATATTAGTACTACTATGCTTCCATATTTTTAGCAATTATTACCTATTTCCACTTTTTGAAATCTATAAAATTTCTAGAAAATCTAGCTCTAAAGGTAGCACTAATTTAGTAAATATGTCATATGAATACTTACTGCTCGTTGGCTTTCCACATTTCGAATTGTAGCTAAATTATTAGCAGCATTTTGTCCTAAAGGTACAGATGTATTTGCTACAAGTCTTGGTATAGTTCTTTTAGCACCAAAATTTATTTTAGGTATTTTGCTGTCAACCATGGTTGTAAATAAAATAAAATTACACAAAAGTTTATATATAAAACAACTTTTCCTTTATAAAGTACGTTACTTATTATGAAAGTTTTGATTAGATGCCGTTTAAGACCATAGATTGTTTATCTCTCTGAATATAGAGTAGAGTCTGCATAGAATTTTGCAAAAGTGCAAGACACACAGGGAATTCTAATCGACGCCATTTTAAGTTTTAAATGAATGTGCATTTCTTTATTTAACTTTTATTAAAAGAAATGTATAATGATATGAAATTACAGGAGAATATATAAAACATTTATTCAAAAATCATATTTTAATTAGATCAGCAGAAAGTTGGTTAGTGAGTAAAAGACTTACATTAACAGAGTCAATTTTTTTTTCTTCCAAAAGCAATTATTTTGTCAAAACAAGCAGAAAGTTTTCTAAATCATTAAAATCGGATGCTTATTTCTCTCAAAAATTGCCATTTTTTGCACATTTAGCTCGGTATCTCCGAAACGCCTGGACCTGCTTTTGCCAAAAACTAATCACCACTTCTCCCCTTCATTACAAATTGAATGTTTTTAGACCATTCAAATCGGATGTTCCGTTCACTCAGATTCTCGATCTTTATTTTCTGCACTCTTTGCTCTGTATCTTCGGATACGGCTCTTTGCTCCGTATCTTCGGAACGGCTAGATCTGTCTTTGCCAAAAACTAATCAGCACATCTCCCTATCAATAGGAATCAAATGTTTTTTAAACCATTCAAATCGGTTGATCCGTGCGCCCAAAAACGTGACTGGAAATTTGTATCCATACATACATACACACACACATCCATTTTTTCTAAGGTATGTCAAAATGTTCAGAAACCTTCAAAACGTCGAGAAATGTAAAAATTTTCAATTTCGATTTTTGGCCCATTACAATAACTTACCCTACGGGAAGTTAATAAATACATGATTATAAATAAGGAAAATGTAATGTCTACATTATTATTGCCGAAAAGCAGCAGAGATGCGCCAAAAATTAAAATAATATACAATGCAAATAATATAACATGCACATGTCAAGTGATGCAGTCTGCGCATGTGTCTGACGCGCACGGCGAATCGTGTTCTCAACGTGCGAGTGGTTTGCTTTTGCTTGCAATAATTTTGTCTGCGCACTTTGCGAACAGATTCGGCGTACGAATTTGTGCAATGGAGCGAGCCATAAGTGATTGCGCTCAAACATATTCAATTTGCAGTCGTTTTGCCTTACTATACTAAGTCACAATACAAAAAAAAATACTTATTTAAAAAAATATTTAGAAGTTTCATTGTGTCAAAAATTCATATGTTTGGCATTGGGTACGGAAGATTTACTCAATGGAGCGCTTTCGGTCTGAACTGTTTTTGACTGTTTTCCAATTCGTTTGGAATTTTGGATTTAGGTTCATCTTACTCTTAAGTTCAGAAGTGAAAACAATTTAGACTCCTTTGCCACTTCCCGGGGGATTACATTTATTTTCAGTGGTGTAATTTTACTTTTTTCAAAATAACGTTGGGTATCGATAAAAGAACTAATTATAAGAGAAAAATGTTTAACAATGTTTTTCAAAAAAGCAAATACTTTTCAAGTTGAAAATTTGTTTTTTTGCGTTTTTCATCGTTTTTTTGCTAATAATCTCAAAAATTTATATATACATTTTAACGAAAATCATGTAATAAATAAAATTATATTAATTAAAATCTTAATAAATCGCTTTTTTATAGTGTTCTAGGAATAATATTAATATTAGATATGAAAATGGGTTTTATAGTGCTTAAAATAAGCTTTAAAATGAGTACTTCTGCGTGTAAAATGAGTAAACTATCATGCAAATAAAAGACGCATACAATGTTTTTTTCATTTAAATCAAATAGTTTGAGTGCTATTTCCACCAAAATTAAAAATAATCGTATTCCATCTAAAATTAACTTGGTTTAAGAGATCTTGATGGATTCTAGAAAATACCACAACTTTAGTACAAACGATTTTCAAAAAACTCATGATTTCATGAAAAAAAAAACATTAAAAAAACAACCAATTTCAATTCATCTCATTATAGTATATCTCTGAAAGAATACGTATAAAAGTATATATATATATATATATATATATATATATATATATATATATATATTCGAGAATTATTATTGTTTATTATTTTTCCATTACACAAATATTGATAGAGGTATTAATTAAGAAGTGCGCGGCTGTCCAACCAGAGGTCTTTCGAGCCCTTTAACCCTTCGCCGTTTCACAATAAGAGAAGTTACGGTAAAATTTATGATAGAGAAAGTTTTTGCTCATTTAACCACCTTTAAAATAGTGTATTACAAGTTCTGATAAAATCAGAATTAAAAGAGTAATAATCCAATTAATGCGGTGGATGATGACGGAGTGCAAATTGATTTCACTTCTGAACTTAAGATAAAGATTAGCCTATTTCCAAAATATCAAGTAAATTGGAGCATAGTAAAAAAAATTCACAGAGCACACGCTTTTTTCCTCTCCATTCACTGCAATAATTTTGTTGATCGTAGGTTGAATAGAGCACATGTGAACAGGATTTGACAAATTAATTCACTTCAAATATGAACTTAAGTAATAATGTATATTGAATTATTAGTGAGAAAAATGTAATTTAAATATTTAAATACTAAAAGCCAGTTAAAAAATGGTACAAAATTATAAAAATTATAGGCAACATTACAATATATTGAAGTAATTATTTTGGGTAAAACATCCAAGATGATATTGCACCTTTACCGCGCATGCTATATATTATATTTTTTTCTGAATTTGTTATACTTTTGAAAAGATTTGAATTTTCAACACATATATTTATGCTATGACAATAAATACATCACAAAAACCAATAATGATTATTTTTAAAAAAACGTAGATGTGGGTACAAGACAACGTCTGTCGGGTCATCTAGTATATTTATATAATAAATACATATTAAAGTAACTTTCGTTTTCTTGATTATTACACTATCAATACCTACAATATTATATATATATTTTTTTAAATATTAAGATTACTGCGCAAATTTGAATTAACTGATTTCAATCCCTTGACTTCATTTTATTCGAATCTAATTCAATAAATCAGTTTACTTTCTGTGTCTAACAAAATCATCTAAATCAAAATAACTCGAATATGATTTTAGATCTCTATCAAATTAAATTAAAAAGGCTTATTGTATTTAAATATAATCAAAATAATTTATAAACTTATATTGTTTATTTAGTTAATTTTCTATAAACCAGGTGCATTTTTTTTATCTATGCTAGGTGTCAGTGACATTTTGCCTTATTGCAAGATGCGTGACCTTCCCAATCATGTACATAATCGACAAAATAAATATGAATTCAGATTTAGCTATTTAGATAATATTTTCAACGGTTTATTTCGAATATAAAGTTTTTACATTAACTAGAAATTAATCAATCCTATTTTCAATTAATATATTTTGAACAAACTTATAATTGAAATTAGCAAGTCAGATTTTCTGTTCGGCAAATTCTTTGTTCGGCAAGTTAATTCAATAATAATGTTTTATATTGAATAATGTCTTTATAAAGTTATTTAATATATATTATTAGCAGGGGCTATTTGTTAAAAATAGTTGGTACGGTACTTTGTTTTGATTAAATTGCTAAAATTATTTCAAGTATTTTTTATGATAATGTTTATTTATGAACTTCTCGTAGGGTAAGTTATAATAATCATAAAAAATAAGAAAAAAAGGAATTTCATATATCTTCACGTTTCAAAACTTTCTGAATATTTTGGCGTACATTAAAAGTAACGGATTTCTCTGTATGTGTATAAAATGCATATTTGCATGTATATATGTGCAGATACAATATTTCATCGACGATTTCGAGAACACAGATCAACCGATTTGTATGATTAAAATAACATTCGATTTATATTCATAAGAAGACTTACTGATTAGTTTATGGCTAAAAAAAATCTAGTCGTTTCGAAAATACGGGATAAAAAGTGCCAAAAATTGTAATACTGTTTTTGAGATAACGGAGCGTCCGATTTCAATCATTCTAAAAATATTTTACTTGTATTGACAAAATGAAGAACACGTAAATTTTTTGAGAAGGCAGTTAAGTTCTTTCGGAGATCCAATGAAAAAAAGTAAAAAAAAAGGCCATTTGGCAGTGAAAACTGATCATTAGACATATGCACATAAAATTATTAGATAACTCATAGAAATTTTCATAATAAGCAAACTATTTTATAACGAACAAATTTTGTTTACACTTCTATGTGCGCCTTTACCAAGATTTATAATGTTTAAAGTTTAAAGATATAAAGTTTTTTTTTATTACCGTTTTATTTCTTAACAACAGATTTTAAATCGCTTAATATGCCAAAATTTTAATTATTTTTCTAATTTAGTATTGTTATTCTATGTGTTCTAATGTTTTACAACAATTTGGTCCTTCAAAAAACAAATCAATCAAACATAAAGAAAACACTATGGATATTTTAAACAGTTTACATAATAGTGGTTATCAACTAATGAATATTTTAGCACAAGCAACTATTAAATGCAACTGTGAAATATTAGTTATTAATAATGAGCAATAACAGAATACCCAAAGTAACTCCAGCTTCTAAAAGGGTACTTGTCAAACCTAAATCTTAGAGTGCCTTCACAAGTACAACATCCAATTCAATTCAGAAAGTTACTAAAATGTTCATCGAGCATTCCATCTCATAATGTATAATTTAACATGATTATATGGAAAATAATATTAAAAATGTTAAAATAAACAATATTCCTGTTGGAAATTTTGCATGTGGTAAATATGTTTTTAAAAATGCTATTTTTTTCAGAATCTTACTAGTACTAGCGCCAGACAAATTTTGCCTAATAGTAATTCAATTAGAAGAATTATTTTCTTTGTTAAAATTTTCATCAAAAGAAAATGTTCCTTTCAAACAGCCAGCACCAGTAGCTAAGCCTTCATTGCCATCAAAAAGATTGCATCTTCAGAGCTTCTAGCAAATTCCTCTTCTTCTCTTCTTCTACTCCAAATCAAGCTGAATTAAA